GGGGGGGGGGGGGTCTTTTAGCACCCATCTATTTAGGCGAAAGAGAGGTCAGTTTTACCCCTCTGGACATAATTTCAAATGTAACAAGACTCTTTCACTGAAGGGAAGAGGGGAAACAGTATGTAGGCACCTAGAGGTGCACAATCTGGAGCTTCAAAGGACATTCTTACTCTCCCTGTGAAAAAGTCACTTTAAGGTAAAAATAGACAGAACATCAATATCTCATATGTAAGAGCCACGTTTTCCTGCATTCACAGAAACCTACCAAGGTCAATATACTAATTTTAAAAAAAAATCATGTAACACGCTTTTAAAGATAAAAATGAGTATTGACCTCACCACCTTTCCAGGCTTCTGCCTGATGAACAATATATAGAAGCCGGTGTCTCTGTAGTGAAGAAATCCAGATTTTACAGTTTGGGGCTGTAGCAGAATTTTTTTATCACATGTCACTGTTGTGTCTCCTATTGGAATGAGGGTTTGCCACAATGGCCATTACGTTCTATGGTCAGACTCTGTCTTTAGCCAAGATCACAGGCAATATAGGAGCTACCAGAGCTAAAAGTCACTACACTAGCCCGAGGATGTGGAAAGACAGTTTTCTTCGCTACAGAGGTATACTATATAGTCAACAGTTGGTGACACCTGACATCACACCTACTTTATGTGGCCAAAAGCATGGGGTCATCCCTCCATAATATCAAGTTCAGGTGTTTCCAATGAAGGGTACTGTTAATACTACATCATACAAAGACATTTTAGACAACTGTGCCCTTCCAACCTTGTGACAACCATTTTGTTCTCTACCCCATCCCTTTTGGTTTTCTTCAGTACAAATGTCGGACACCCCCGTCCGCACATTTGAGAAGCAGCACACCCTATGGCCCCATAACCCCCGCACCCCAGCCACTCGTAGAGCGCTCATCTCCTGGACTTTTCCTCAACTTTCACACGACAACAATTTGTTGAAGGCCATTTTTTTTTGTTCCAGCATGACTGTGCTCATGTATACAAGGCCAGCTCCATAAAGACCTGGTTTGAAGAGTGTGGTGTGATGGAACTCAAGTGGTCTGCACAGAGTCCTGACCTCAACTCTACACCTTTGGGATTAGTTGGAACGCTGATTGTGAGCCAGGTCTTCTCATCCAACATCAGTACCTGACCTTACAAATGCCCTTCTGGCTGTATGGGCACAAATTCCCACAGAGACACTCCAAAATCTCATGGAAGGCTCAATCCAAAAAGTGTGGGCTGTTAAAAAACACAGAGGGAGGGTGCAACTTCATAGTAATGATGTTGGTTTTGGAATAGGAAGTCCAACAAACTCAAAAGGTGTGATGGGCAAGAGTCAAACTTTTGGCCATATAGCTTACCTGTTGTTCTACTCTTTGGCTGCAAAGGATGATGGGGAAATGCTTATTTCCTATCTTAAAGTAAAGTTATACTTTAAAAAAAAGGGTACCTGACAGAAAAGGTTGTCCTGGAGCCCAGAGCAACCAAATTCCATCAGGTTTTAAACAAGGGCAAACCATATACACTAGCAGGCTTTGACTCAAGTGGACAACACCCTCTCTTGTGCTGAGCGGCATTCAAATAAATCCTAATCAAGTCCTTCAGGAACATTTTTGTAGTTTTGGAGAGGGTGGAAAGGATTGCATGCTCTGGCCGGTGTTTATTGTTGTCTGTGGTTCTTTGAAAGTGAGGGGGAAATCAGGAAATCTTTCTTAATGTCTTCAGTACTTTCTGAATTACTAATTTTAATCATTTATCAAATCAAAATTATGATCAAACCAGAAGATCTGACTTTCTAATGTGCTTGCTTGTCTGGGATTATTGATGCCGGGTAACACCTGTCAAGGGGCACGGGG